AAAAAAAAAAAAAAAAGAAAAAAAAAAAGATCAACATTAGAATATCTTGATAAAATTTTACTTCCCAAAGGCTATTACATGATCTAACACAAATGTGCTTCCCTGCCAGCCCAGATAAATCCATTAACACTTCAAATTCAGGATTCCAGTGCCAGCCATGGTCACTGAGCGCCGAGGCAAGAGGCAGACAAGGGAATAATCTCCCAACTTCAGTCTTATTAACCAGAGTTTGCCAGTAATCTCTTAGAACAACAAAAGGGGGATCAGCAAATAAATATTTCTCTTAGCCACAGGGAGCACATGTGCAACCCCCCTGAGCAGGGGGAGGATTAACAAGGGGGATGTTGGGGTTGGAGGGGCCTTACCTGCTGGGCGTCTGTGTCGGACTGGAATGTAACGTACCAGTTGTTGTTGTGAGCAAACTCACAGCTTATCACCTTGGGGCAGTTCTCGTTCTTAAACAGGGCCTTCACCTCCTGGGGAGACAAACCCAGGCCAGTTTAGGGCACCTGGCTCTGAGCTGGACAGTGAACACCAACGAGACACAGGTTTAAGCTCCAGCCCTTCCCTCCCGTGACCAGGGATGCTCTCGTGTTCCCCTGACAGGCTCTCCAGGCACCACGTCATCCTCTCCCTGTTCCTGAACCCACAGAGCCCACTCCAGGCCCCCCCAGTTCCCCAGGTAAAACACAGCAGGATCAGGTGGTAAGAAAAATCAAGACCTGTGAAGAACTGGTGACATTTCCACAGAAAACAGGTAGCAAAGGTGTCACGGAGACAAGAATGATTCCATGAAATACTCCTAAGTCAAGGCAACCTGACAGGGGTTTTTTTTATATCTTTGCAATAATCAGATTGTAAAGAGAGGGGACAAGCAGCTGTTCAGTGTTTGCATTAAAAGAACTCATTAAAAATGCTGGTAGACAAACACCCTGTGTTACAACTTTTAAAAAACAAAGAGCTAAATCATTCTGTTCGCCAAGTATCAGGAGGAATTTTATTATCCTCCCTTCTCTGAACATAATGAGCTCAGCTCACGCTGGGGCACAATGAATGAGAAATGTTTAGCAACATTTCTTGCTGCCAAAACAACCGTCTGACTTCAAGTAAAGTTACTGCTGTGACAAAAATTCAGCCTGGATTCCAAGCTGTGCCCTGGACTGATTTATTTTTGGATCCGAAAAGAAACCAGTTCAAACTTCCTTCCAGAGAAGCCAGGTTAGCTCAGCTTTGGTGGAAAAAAAGAAAAAAAAAAAAAAGGAGTTTGCTTAAGAAGGTTTAAATATAGTAAGTAAATAATGGGAAGGCACGATGGCAATAAGTTTTTGTTTTGGCTGTTTTGACAGCGCACCCGGGAGGAAAATATTACTGATGTGGTTCACAAGAAAAATGTCCCTGTTTAATCACATTAAACACCAGCTGACCTTTTCCTGGTGCCTGTTTGAAGCCCTGTTGAAGACAACCTTCCAAAATCATCAACCTTTATTTCCCTTTTCTCCCTGGATTTACCTCTATGGGTGTTGTCTCGGGGATCTCCCGGAGGATGATAATGCACCGCTTGTGGTTTGGTCTCACCTTCTCCCCTCTCTCGTCCACTTGTACCATGGGAGAAGCTGAAATTCAAAGAGCAAAGTGGGACACTGAGCACACTTGGAACAAAGAAGGAGAATTCAGGAGTCTGGAACAGCCCCTTCCTCAGCCATGGCTGCAGAGGGAGGTTCCTGTCACCCTGGACCAGCACAAGAAGCCACAACCAGCTCAGAGACTGAACCATCTCTCTGGAGCACCAGGATTCTTTGTCCTACTGACACACCCCCCAAACCCCCAGACTTACATCTCAGAACTTCAAGAATAAGGTCCATATCCGTTGTCAGCTTCTTAATCCCTTCCATGTTGGCAATTGTCCATATTGGAACAAACTGATCGCTGTCCATCTGAGACATCAAGTAGAGATCCTTTGAAAGATTCTCACTAAAAAGACATAAAATCGTGATTTCATAAAAATCCTGAACTTGACTCCCAGAAGACTCAAAAAACCAGGATCACTGCAGGCTTAAATATTCCCCAATTCCACTCACAGCCGAAAGACCCTCAAATTCTCTCTCCTGGAACAAATCCCAGCAGACCAACACAAAGCAATTTAAAAAATGTCATGAAAGCTGCGGTGCTCTGCACGTTGGCCTGCAAAAGGGATCTGCCAAAGAGCCTCCTGGGGACACACAGCCAAGTTATCTCGAGGTCTTACAACTCCAGAGCACAGGAGGTTCATCCTCACCCAAGGACACGGATGCACAGACGGGACTGGAACAGCTGGAAGGTGCCAAGGGGGTTTCCACGGCACGTCAGCAAACCTTGGTTTGTTCTTGATAAAAACCTTGTGTTTTTATCAAGATGATGGGACACACCAAGCCAAACCCAGGGAATATTTGTCAGGGATTTTAGTGAAGGCTTTGTAGCAGGCTGAGTTAAGTGCACCTACCGGGAGAAGCAGAATTCAAGTTGTTTCCTCAAACATTCCCTGATGTCTTCCGTGGACACGGCGGAGGGGCCGTCACCTGGAAGGGACCACACCCCCCATCAGATCCCACTTCCACACCCACACAGTGCATGGACACGTCTCATTGTCCAGCAGAATAAATCCCTCTGGGTAGGAGCAGGGGGAAAAGCTCGTCTGAGGTGCTTAAAGAACTCAACATGCTCCCAACACGACCCCGACCCCGCCGCTCGCACCTGCTTGGCCAAGTGTTGGAGCTCCTGGGATAGCCATGGACGTGCCAGGATTCCTCCTGGGTCACAGCACAGCTGCAGCAAACTGCAGGGGGTCACAGGCACTGACAGCAGTGGTTGAACTCGAGCACTCACCAGACACTTCATAGATTTGGTATCCCAGGTCTTCGGTCGCCAGGACGATGCCGTTGGCAGAGGCTTCGTCGGCTCCTGTGCCATTCCTTGTGGCTTCACAGGACGGGGAATACATCACTTCATACTGCTTGCAGCTGTCCTCTGAGAGCTCTATGTGACCTGCCAAAGGGACACCCCAGCAGCAGGGAAACTCCCGTGAGCTCCGGGACAATTCCCCACGGGAAAAACTTTGGCTACCGACATTAAAACACCCAAAAACTGCTGCAGCTGAGAGTGTCTAAAGTTAGTCTGTATGTCTCAGACTTTGTATTGGAGAGAACTTTTCAGTTCTCCAGTTTCAGAAAGGTCTTCTGGTTTGCACCAGGCTCTCGGGGGTAAGTAAATAAAAGGAAATAAAGGATCCTGAAACTGATCCCCAGAGGGGGAGAGGATCTAAAAACCAGTCTTTCCACACGAAATTTAAAATATTTAAAGCGAGGTTGCCAAAAACAAGGGGTGAAAATCGCTTACACTGCCAGGGTTGCTTCACTTTGTTGTGAAGAGACAAATGAGTTTCTGTCGGGCAAAGCACAAACCCGGCGCTCGATCCCCACTTCTGCTGACTTACCAGAAACCTTTGACAGGGCCACACGAGCTGAATCCCCCCTTCTTTATCCCTAACTTTGACTGGGCTGTTTTTGCAGGGAATCTTCTGCCTCCTCTGCTGGGCTTTGAGTCACCTCAGTTACCCCTGAGCCAAACCAGAGCCACCTGAACACTCGGCTTTGGGTGGCACTGCCCACGTGGTCAAGATGGAAACAGGGCTGGGATGGAACAGACCGAAGGGAGAGGAGCAACCCGTGGGCACTGGGCACTCCTGCCAGCTCTCAGCAGCCCCTCGGTGTTCCCAGGATGGCAGGTGGCCCTCAGACCTCATTTTCTTGTTCACAGGGTCCACGGATGCCAAAGTGCAGCGGTGCCATGAGCCCATGCCCACACATCTGGCACCCTGCCCCCTCCTAGCGCGTTACATGGTCATCACTGGGCCTCTTGGATCCTGTTCCTGCCCAAGTGTCCTGTCCCAGAGGAGCTCTGACACCTCCTCGACCCTCTGAACCGGTGAGACCCGTCACCTCCATAAACCCCCTGCTGCCTTCTCACACACTTATTTCCCACTTTTTGCTCCCTCAGCACTGACAACCCCCAGGACAAGAGCCCAGGGGTTGCTCCTCCCAGCTGAACTCGCCCTGAGTGTCCCCCAAGGGCCGTGTCCCCACATCTCACCCTCGGCCGGAGTCCCCTGGGCCGCCGCCGTCTCCTGCCACGTGTGCTCGGTGCCATTTGAGGGGGGCACGGCCTCACCACTCCCCTGGGGGACTTCCTGCCACACTTTGGCGTTGGGGTTCAAGCCAGCCCCCTTGGATGTCACCTGCTGAAGAGACCAGAACACCTCTGTCAGTGCAAACGGGCCGGGGGAGCCCCAGAAAGCCAAGCCAAGACAACACAGGAGAATTTAGTGATTGTCCCTCTAGAGTTCCACATCTCAAGTGTCTACCCAGCTATTAAAGCACCTATGTGATTTTTTTTTTTTCATTAATCAAAACAGGAAAATCCTTGGTGTTTTCCAAGTATTTCGTTTCTACCTCCATTAGAAGTGTTGCCTTCAACCTCTCTCTATTGACATCCGACAACATCAGCGGAGGCAGCGGCTACCGGCCAGGACTCTGGGAACTCATAAGCTTTTAAAGACTTGACTGTCATAATGCTCCAGTCCCCTTTCACCAGAAAGGGAAATTTTCCCTCCTCCAGACCCCTTCCTAGAAAGGAAGGTAAAAAAACATATGTCAAGGAGCAGAAACTGTATAACTTATGGAATTAGCGACGTCTCTACTAACCAAGTATCGCCTGTGCTGTGCCAGGATTCCTCCTGAACTTACCTGAGCCCTGCCCCGTCCCCCCAGGGATCACCTACACCTTACACACATCAGCAGACACAAACCATTTCCTTAAACCTGCAGCCAAGGGGATTTGGAAGTGCCAAGACAAACCTGCCCACTATCCCGGCCTGTTTTAGACTTCTCACCTTGGGAACGGGCAACGAGGACCACGATTAGAGGGAGAGGGCTGAAAATGGGACAAGACAAGAGGAACTGCTGCATTCCAGCCTGGAACCTGGCAGGGAGAAATGCTCCCTCCCACAGCACAAGGTGGAACCCTCCAAGGTCCCTTTCCCAGAGCTGCTCAGAGGCATTTGGGTGAGGAGCCCAACACAGCTCCTTCCACGCGGACAACAAAACTCCCCTTCTGCAAAAATTCTCCCCCCAGGAAGTTCAAACGCCCCAGAAGCCACTGACACAGTTCCTCCAGCCACTGAACGATGCTCCACTTCGCTCCTGCTGGACTTTAAAAGGTGAAAGCCAATAATCCAGCTCCCATCCACCAACTCCCAGATGAGGAAGTTGGATATTTCGGAGCCTGGCCTCCTGGGTACTGAAGTTAAGGAGTGGCTCACTACCAGGCCTCAAACACAAAGCACAAGGATAAGGAAGCAGTTGCAATAGCTTTAGAGATAATTCCTCTGCCAAGGTCACACCTCGTGCCAAAGCTGTTGGCTGCAAGGACAAGCCCCAGTCCGGTAACAAGAAGCCTCCAAACACAGGAGAGGTTCAAGACAACCATGAGAGAAGCAAAACAAGGACCACAATTCCTGCTCTCAAACTTCCCAACAGCAACAGTCCTCCCCTCTCGTTAATCTCAGCCCAAGAACAGAGCTGGAAACAGAAAGGACTGGAAAGAGTTCGGGGTGAAAGGACACGCGTGCGTTTCCCTTCGCAGAGCTCAGAGCAATCCTCCAACAAAACAACCTGAGAAGGAAAGCCCAGGAAGCTGCTGCACCCCCAGGCTCTGTCCCTGCAGCTCAGCACTTCCAAACCCCACCTTGCTCAGCTGCTGGGCCCTCCTGGGACAGAGCATCACCCGTCCACGTGCACTCAGGGACCCAGACCCAGCAGGTCCCAGTTCTTTGACTTGACTTCTCATCAAAGCAAAATGAGACAAGACACAACCAGGAGATGATTCATTCTTCTCTAAAAATAAACTCTGCCTCACTACCTACATCTCTGAGGGAAGCACTGAGCTTGAAGGAATAGCTGTGAGAAAGGGAAAGTGAAACACTTTTGGGGCAGTTTCTGCGCTTCTGGAGGTGATCAGGACTAAAAGCAGCTCTGGGGACGGCAGAGGATGTTCCTCACCTTAGAGAGACCAAAGGCACACGTGGCAACAGCACAGCTCTGAAATCTCAGGTGCAGGTGAGAAGGGCTCAGAAACCAAAGAGATTTGGGCTGGGAAGTGATGAATGGCCCGTGAACACAGTGGCTGGGACACACACCTGGAACAGAGCGTGGGCCACTTCCCCTGGGCTGGAAACCCTCAGTGAGGTGGAACACAGCCCTGCACAACCCAGCCCTGCTCTCGCCCCTCTCAACAGCAAAACCCCACGGTCTGGAGAGGACAAAAAGCCCCTCATTTACATCAGCTTTTGGGAATTTCGCCGTGCCGAGCCCCAGGAGCGGCTCTTCAGAGGAGAAGGCCAAACTATCAACTCTTGCTTGTTTAAGCGAGGTTCCAGAGCCCTGGCCTGTGGGATTGGCTGCAGCACGATCCTCCCAGCTGCTATCAGGAGCTTTCAGGACGAGGTTAAAGCTTTACAGAGTGACAAAGGTTGGGAACACTCGCTGGGACCCACGAGCTGACAAAGCTGCCCTCGGCACAGCAAACGTGGATCAAAGATCTTCCTCCAGCAATTCCCCCCCAAAAAAAAGACTGTTGAAGCCAACTCTCATTCTTGAAAGGATGGAAAAGGATATTTTTCTTATTGTAATTACATTTAAATCGTATTTAACCAGAGTCAATTAAGCTGACAAAAATGCAAGCGCTCGGAGGTTTAAAGCATTTTAATATTAACTCAAATCATCCCGCAACCAAAATCTTAACCCAGAGCTTGTGACACGTTTCCCGGAGCAGGCAGAGACTAAGAGGGAATCAAAGCCGAAAAATCCAGAAGAGAATTTAACAAAAAAACTTGCGAGGGGGAGAAACTAAACCTTTTTCCAGAAGTGGAAACGTAAGCAGATGGAAAAACCCCAAGGTCAGCAAAGCCACGGGAGGCAGCACGGGAGAGAAACCTTGTGCTGGCTGGGGGACAGGCAGGAGGGAACACCCCTGGGGGGGGCTCAGGCACAGTGTGGGCTCCTGTCACCTCCTCAGAGAGCAGGTACTGTCACCTCCTCAGAGAGCAGGTACTGTCACCTCCTGGAGGGGAGTCACCTGGCACCTCCTCAGAGAGCAGGTACTGTCACCTCCTGGAGGGGAGTCACCTGTCACCTCCTCAGAGAGCAGGTACTGTCACCTCCTCGAGGGGAGTCACCTCCTCAGAGAGCAGGTACTGTCACCTCCTGGAGGGGAGTCACCTGGTACCTCCTCCAGGAGTCACCTGTCACCTCCTCAGAGAGCAGGTACTGTCACCTCCTCGAGGGGAGTCACCTCCTCAGAGAGCAGGTACTGTCACCTCCTGGAGGGGAGTCACCTGTCACCTCCTCAGAGAGCAGGTACTGTCACCTCCTCAGGGGGAGTCACCCTCTCAGAGCTCAGCCAGGGTGTGAAGCTGGATAAGGAGAAGCTCCTCAGGAGCTGCCAGCAGGTCTCAGGTGACAGTTCCATGCTCTGAGCGCCCCAGGTGACTCTCAAACCCACGTTAATGGTCATGGGAGTGTCGCTCCCACCAGGTGGGTTTTCCAAAGGCTGGGATGAGTCCCCCGTACCCGGGGGGGCTGTGTAAAGGGGGTACCTGTGGCAGAGGTGTGTGAACAGGGGCAATTCTGGGGGGGGGGGCTGGTCAGCCAGAGGGAAGCCAGGAGCCTCACCTGCAGAAGGAGAGGGCCAGCAAAGCTCAGTGCTCGCCACAGCCCTGGATTTCCAACCAGGAAACATCACGGGCAGCGTTTCGCCCACCTGGAACACACGGACTTCCATTTCCCCCATAAACTACAAACAGATGGGATCAGCAGCACGTACCCCCCCTGAGCAGAGCCCCCAGCAGCCATTATCAATCCCATTTTTCCCCAGTGCTTTTAATAATATTCCTAATGCAGCTGATTATTGATTGTGAACAGCACACGGGTCCTGGCTGGGAGGGAGAAACAAGGCCGAGCCCAAACATCAGCGTGTGAGACAGCACGAGCCTTACACAGCCCTCACTGCAGCACTGGAGTTAAAGATGTCACAGGAAAACCCAATTTCCCTCACTCCGTGCATCCCACAAAAGGCTCCACTCACAATCACCATGCTCACACTTGAGGTGGGTCTAAACCAAACACCTACAGCTACAGCAATGCAGCCAATCCCCCTGGAAACCTCGAGACGTCCACCACTGTCCTGCCCTGGGCCTTATTTTCCAGCAATCCCCAAAGATCCGGAGACAAAGCTGCTGTTTGCTCCCGAGCATCCGACTGCAGCGTCCCAGGACAGCCGGCTCTGAGCTCCAGCCCCTGTCCTGGCAGCGAAAAGGCACCTTCAGAAAGTCCAGGCGGTCCTCGGGAACTCAAAACTGAACATTACTGAGGCCTCCAGAACTGGAAGATCACCGAAACTCCCACCACCGCCAGAGGAAGGAGATCAGACCGAGCAGAGTTGGTGTTTTTAGAGGGATCCCCTGAACACCCCGAGGTGGGGATGTGCTCCAGCTCCCTCTGAGCTCAGCCACAACATCACCACCAGCCATGTGCTCGCCGGCTGATGGGCTCTATCTCCCAGCACAGCTCCACTGCTCCCCTTCCAGAACCTGCCTCGTGTGCCCAAGGGGGGCCCTCTCCTGCTCCAGGGCCCTCTCACCACGCTCAGCCTGGGCTGAGGCCGCTGCTTATGGCTCCCCTCAGCCCGGGCAGTTCCTCTTCCAGCCAAACGCTGCAAACCCAGAACCCTCAAGACCTGTCACCGTCTTCGTGACAACTTTTATTCCTCTCGGGTGAAGCCACGTAACTCCCAGCTCAGAGCTGAGGTTTGGCGATTCTTCTGCGGTGATTTCGCTCGAGGGAGAGGAGCTGTTGTTTCCCGAGCCTTTTCATTCGGAGGGCCTGAACCGCAGAGCACGTGTCGGTGTTTCGCGTTAAGAGCACCACCAGCACCACCACCGCCCCCGAGAAACTCCGAGCGGGACCCCCCAGGCAGAACCCCACGAGCCGAACACCCCCCCCAGGCAGGGACCCCCCCCCTGAGCTGGAACGCCCCCGACAGACCCAGCACGGCTCCCCCGGTCCCCTCCGTCCCCCCAGCCGCCACCACCCCCCCCCCTCCGATCCCGCAGCTCTTGGCCCCGCGCACGTTTTCGGGACAAAACTCGGTGCAAAGTTTCCAGCGGCCGCCCGGGTCCGTCCGGCAAAGGCTGGAACGGCCCTCGCCGAGCCCGCGAGGGGCCGCGAGGCGCCGCAGCCCCGTCCCGGGGCCTCCGGGGACACCGCGCCCGCCCTCCCCGGTGACCTCCAGGGCCGGGCCGGGCCGGGCCGCGCTCCCCGTCCCGCCGGGCCCCGCCAACGGCGCAGCCGCCCCTCGCCCCGCCGCGAACCACCCCCGGGGGGTTTAATTAACGCAATTAACGAGGCGCCGCGCTCGGGCCCGGCGCCGCGCCGCGGAGGGGCCGGGCCGGGGAGGCCCCGGGGAGGCCCCGCGTGTCCCGCGTCACCTTCACGGCCGGGCCGCGGCGGCCCCCGAAGGTCACGGCGGCGCCTCCCCCGCTCCCGGAACCTTCCAGAGCGCCCCCCAGCCCGCCCCGCGGCCGCCGCGCGCGGATCTGCTGTGTCAGCCCCGTCCCCTCCCCCGGCGCGGCGGGCGCGGCGTGCGCGGCCTCCCCGCCGCCTCCTCCTCCTCCTCCTCCTCCTCCTCCTCCTCCTCCCGCGCCACATGGCCCCGCGCCGCCGCCGCCTCACCTCCACGAAGAGCAGCATCGCGCCGCCGCGGCCGGCGGGCCCCGCGCTCGCTCCCCCCCCACCCCCGCGGTGGCCGGAGCGGCGATCGGGACACGCGGGCTCCGCCTCCGGCCGCGCCGCCCGGCCCGGCCCGGCCCGTCCCGCCCGCTGCCCGCCCGACGCCGCCGCCTCTTCCGGGCGCTGCGAGCGCGTCCGGGGCACGGCCGGCGCGCACCATTCCCCCGCGCGCGGGGGGGGGCGGTGCTCTTCCCTCCGGGCTCCGCCAGAGGGCGCGGCGGCCGCGGCGCCGCGCGCGGGAAGCGGCCCCCCCTCCCCGCGAGGGGGGAAATGGGCGGGTCCGGAGGCGCGTTGGTGGAAAATTCTCGGGTTTGGTTTTTTTTTTTTTTATGTTTTTTTTTGATTTGTTTCTTTTGTTTTTTTTTTCTCTGTTCGCTTTTGTTTTGCTGTGTTTTGGTCGGTTGCTTTTATTTTTTTCATTACAGGACCCAAAATACTTCATTTTCCCCCCACACACACAGCCCAAATCGTGCACCCCGTGCCTCGCACGGGTAATGCTCCCGCTGCAGGTTGGACGCGCCTCAGCTCGGGGATCAGCACGGGCCAAACCTCACCCACGGAAAGCCCCGAGCACCGAATCCTGCCCTGCACCCCAAGGGGATTCCTGCCAGGAAAACACACCCTGAAAAAACTTCGCTTTAGGGGAGGAAAGATCCCCAAAATTTTTACCTACAGCGCACTCAGGGGAATCTTGTTATTTTGGGTGACCGAGAAGTGTCCTGTAACAACATTAAAACATTCTGGTGTGGGTGGAGGACCGAGTTTCCAACCCTGGGATCCCCAGGATGCTGCCATGGATCGCTGGCCTGGGAGGGACCCCACGAACCCCATCACCTGCAATTAGGGCCGGGCAGATCCGGGTGGATAAGTCAGAGCCAGGGAATAATCAGGGTCCATTGAGGAGATTAGACAGGGAGCACAAGCTGCCTGGGAAACGCAGCCCAGCTGGCAGGTTCCGTGGTGTTCCATGGGCAGCAGCTCCGGGACACGGAGGAGTGAAAGAAAAGGAAATTGGAGGAGTAGAAATCGAATTAATAACTTGGAGCAGGATAAACGGGAGGGGACCGTTCACAGATCCATCCAGGAATCCATCCTGGAACCTCGAACCACGGGGACAGTGTGGGAGCAGATCCCCCTGAGCGGGGTTTGGTCCATCTCTGAGAGCAGGGGCAGGACCCAGGGAACGGCTGGAGCTGTGCCAGGGGAGGTTTAGGTTGGATATTGGGACAAGGTTCTTCCCCCAGAGGGTGGTTGGGCACTGACCAGGCTCCCCAGGGCAGCGGGCACGGCCCCAAAGCTGCCAGAGCTCCAGGAGGGTTTGGACAATGCTCTGAGGGACAGGGTGGGGTTGTTGGGGTGTCCTGAGCAGGGCCAGGACCTGGACTGGATGATCCTTGAGGGTCCCTTGCAGCTCAGGATATTCCAAGAGTCTGTGATTTAGTGAGACCTCACAGTTCCAGTGTGGAATTGAGAACCTCTTCCTCCTCCTCACCCCCTTCCCCCAGCAGATGCCGTGGCACTGAGCACTTTGTCATCTCCAAAGCCCTTTGCAACCATTAACTGGTTAATCCTCACCCCCCCTGTGGAGCAGGTCAGCATCCCCCTGGCCCAGGGCTATCCCCAGCTCCAAAGCTGCTCCTTAATTTTGAGTGTTCTCAAACAGAGCTCCCAAAGCCACGGAGGAGTCACGGCACAAAATGGGTCTGAGCCCCAGTTTCAGACCTGATATCCCTCAGGAGCTGAGGATTCCCGACCCCAGGCTTTGCTGGGATGGAAATTATCACTAATGCTTGGATTAGAGTGTTTTCCAGCAGCTGGTTCTGCCCATTCCACTGAAATGCTGTTGGTGAAGGGCTTGATGCCACCAGAACACTCCCCCGAGCCTGTTGAAAGTGCAGATGGGGTGCAAGTAATTCCTGCTGGGTGCCAGCAATTCCCTGTCACCCGAGGGAGAGATGCAGGAGCGATGCCACTGGAGCCAGAGCACGCTTCAGCCAGGTCCCATTCCCACCTTTTGGGAGGTGAAACCACCAATTCTGTGTTTACACCCCCGGGGAAGGTCACCAGAGGCAGGGACAGCTCCCCTTGCCTGGCTCCCTGCTCCGCTCCCAACGGCTTCTCCCGCTGGGGGGGTTTGGAATCACGGCAGGAACGAGAGTTCCTCCTGCTGAAAGTGCTCCAGAGAGCTGATGGACACACTGGAGTGAGAGGGTTCCTCCTGCTGAAAGTGCTCCAGAGAGCTGATGGACACACTGGAGTGA